ACAAGTTAAGGGAACAAACGTTTGGTAAATTATACGTGGCGTGGAAAACGAGGGAGAATGACAATTATAGTATGTACGTGTTGTGTACGGTTGCCGTCCCATTCTGTATTTTAGGGCTATCTACGCATGCATTTTACATGCGATAATGATAGAGGGGCTATAGTTGCATTATATGCGAGTATATTTTTCAACGTTTAACTGAATTGGTTTGGTTGTACATTCAAATTTTCCTTTGTAAACAAGTAGGTGTGCTAAAACACCATCATAAAACTCGTGTATTGATTAAAAATCTTTCTTTCGTCGATACGTAACGACAACTAAAACATTCACTTCATAAAGCCTGATAAGTATTCCACACAAACATTAATCCTGCTCCCCTTTCTTTGCTTAACACTCTTCATTTGACAGATTGGACTAAATTACTAAAGCTTTTTTATTTAATGTAAGGGGTAATGGGAATCGTAGGAGTATTTTGAGTGTTTGCCCTTGTGAGATCGACTGGCGAGTAGCTAGTTTTTATTTGCGCGTCTGTTTGCCGAGGCAGTCGAGCGTACTCAGCTCCCTCTGTGTGCTGTGACATAATATCGCTTATATTTGATTTGATCCGCCCTCTCTAAGGTTTGTTATTGTATCCATCGTTATTGATTGCTTGGCTACCTTTGAGCTGTGACGTTTGTTTAAGGCTGCAGTCGTACTGTAAGCTGCTAATGTCAAACTCTAAATTGACTCAAACTTACCTAAATTGCTTGCATCACTAGGGCATTATACCGCCTATTATCATCAAGCCCTTTGAATAAGATTTTATAACTTTACATAACAATCGTGATCATAATTTTGTTATTTGAACATTCAGAATCATCTGTTCTCTCAAATGCTCAATTTGAATAAGTATACATACATGCTACAGACCAATACCTACCTATACCTACTCACTAATGGCAGTGTAATAGGGTAAGTCCAGGATAGATGCCCCACTTTTTGAAACAGCTCTGTAACTCAGTCAGTAAGTTTTTACCAACAATTTGACCTTAGTATCTGTAAACTTTGGTCTTTCGTCTATGATATTACTATAATTATTTTAGTTTAAGTTACACCGATTCTGAGTAAATACCATTTTAATTGACCTCTAGAAAGTGGGATAGACGCCTAATGTGGGGGATAGAAGACTCACTGTATGATTGCTTCAAAGGATAGATGCCTGATGCAGGGATAGATGACTCGTTAATATAGTTTTTGAATTCTAAGGATCAAATACATTTTGAAATCAAACAAGCCAAGTATTATTATTTAAGATTGTTTGTTATTAAATGAATTAAAAATGAAATTTAATAATTTTATTAAAAATAATACTACTCCTTCTAACGCAGTCGGGTAAAAAGGTAATTCGATCAGAAGGGCACCCTATTTATTACTTTCCTAAGGTTAGCCGTACTACATTCTTTTTTTCTTCTTACTTGCTACTTGTGACAAAAAGAGCAGGTTAGGATAGATGCCCCTAGGTGCATGGGACATGGCCCTAAGGGCATCTATACCCAAAAAAAATTAGGCAACTATCCTTTTAGCATAGGATAGGTGCCTTTTTTAATAAAAAATATAATAACACTAAAAATCGAATGAAACATAGCTATCCCGTATAATTTATAAGATAGTCTATCAAATTATATAAAAATCTGCTTCATTTTACAGCTGACAAAAAAATTATCCATTTAAAGATACTTACCAATATTACTTCGACGCTCGCTAAGGTCTGGCCGCGGAAGATTTTTGCTCTCACTGGCTAAACGAACGCACTCTTCGATGGTTTGCGAGGCGAAAAGTGGTACGGGGAGGTCCCTTTCTATTATATGTACTATAACTTTAGGCTATGTTGCTTGTAACATAGTGTACTTAAAATCGCGGCACCTATCCCACTGGGGCATGTATCCTGGAATTACCCTACTCGTACATATGCGGCTCCGACCGACACAAAGCAGCTTTCAATAGGTACATTATCTCTAGTTATCTAATGTTCTATAAATGTATATGATAACATCACTCAAAGACAATCACACAGCTAATATATTGACGGTGCTGAAACCACATTAAATCTGAACACGCGTGTTTGAATATCGATCACACGAATACAGCCTTTGTTGTGATGCTATAGAGTTTATAATGGTGTGGCTGATAACATAGAATGGAGGTACCTACTCTAACTTATCAGTAGGCCATACCGATCAAAATCAGTTTCGTACCTAAATATCAGTATGGCGAGCTGTAATGACACCGACCAAGCACTTTGTATGGGTACTTATTGACAGGCATTCCTACTTTTATCGATGCTTTTATAATTATAGCAGGGAAGGGAAATACAGGTGCTAATCATAATCATATAAAAACACTACTCATTCGCCCACTATCCTACGATAAAAATATGTATACCATTATTAAACTTCCATACTCGCTTAGTAACATGTGTCACTTACAGATATCAATGACAGTATTTAATGATATTCTTGTTAGATGATGGATGTAATAAGAATATCGATTAATGATCATGATAATGTATCTCTGATTCATGTCGTAGACGTACATTTTTAAAAGAAATCTGCATTAATAGTGCCAATCCTGCAGTAAATTGATTGAATGACACAACTTTATGAACCTAATAGAGTTCCAAGTTTGTTAAAATTTGAGTATTTCTCACCAACAAAGAAAAAAAAACTGCTACAGCTGAAAGAGTGACAAGAAAGTATCACTGACCTACAACGAAAATGTGGTAAAGTAATAATGTTTTACATAGGAATTCCATGTAATGCTGAATAAATGAAAACGATTTATTATGCCATGTATTCCTTGTTAATAAACAGCCTACATTTGTAGCTTAGTTCATTCATAAACATATTAACATTTCAAGGACTCAAAAATTAGCTCGGTCGTTACGAGTACCTGGTAGAGGTAGGTCGTAAATGCGATTTAATACAACGTGTATCTGCATTGAGTCAGCGCAATCTTATTAGAACGCTATCAACAGCGTGTAAGCTCTATTACATAATGTGAATCCGAACCAAACATAGGTTGTCTAATCTTATTACACGTTGCGTTATGTATGCTGCCTTGCATCGTACGAGTACACAAAGACATCACAATATAATAGAATTTAGTTAGATAATACGCCTTATGCTTAGTACTAAACGTAGTTATTACTCTAACTTAGCATGTAGAAACGAAAAGTCTCTAACGCCAATATTCTAAACATTACTATGAGGTCTTATAGTGCGCGTGGACGCACAGGGTGACACAGGAACCAATCACAGAGATCTATTCAACGCTGTGCGTCCGATTTGCTGCTTCACATAAGCAAGTATTGTTTGTGAATACGGGCGTAAGTTCGTTTGGTTCGAATTGCCAAAACATTTTAGGCGTTGTAAACGACGGTACGACATCCGTAGTGTCAGATTCGCCGGTGCATCTTTTAACACGTCGAAGCAAGCGCGCTATGCTTTCGTAACCGTATCCCTTATCCGAACATGGACCTGTCCACAGGTACCTGTAGTTAAACCGAATCAGATTTCAGCAAACCACGAATCGATAAAGGTTAACGTTGGGAGACGTTGAACCAAGATTAGGTCAAATATTAGATAGCTTTCCAATTAATTACATGTTTTTTTTTCTGTTCATACCTAGTAATCAAAGGCCACTTACTGATTAATTTAAGCTTATTCCGTAAATCTGATTATTTTTCTGTGTGCATGATATAAGCACAGATCTCAATGAGCAAAATGTGAGCACAGCCTTCTTCAGCCTCCTTAAGCCTCCTTGAGGACTTTTCGCTCTGTTTAAAGAAAACAAGTTGGTGCTCCCAAACGAAGCATTAGACTCTCAAGTAGGGTCGCTGTGTGCACAGTAACTTATGCTATTATTTCTAAGTCAACTCGCCCTAATGTTTGACCAAATCTGTTGACGTCCTTTCCCAGACCTTTCATCTTTTACCGACTACGTCTATATTTAATAAATAAATAGCGCATGTTTGTAATATTGAGTGGTCTGTTAGACCGATCTGCTTCATGCTCTTTCTGTGATTGACTTTTGAAGTTCCCCTTTCTTCCAACAACCTTCGCGTACAATAGGCTTGTTTAAATAAGAATGAAAGAATTGAAATGGAAGTATATCTGCTAACATGGAATAATATTGCAGTTTTAGATATTTAATATTGAAATCTTAACCGTCATTTTGATTATTTAATGTTATTAAGCCAAAAAGGTAATTAATCTTGTAAAACAAACAATCTTAATGCTGTTTATTCATTGGAAAATTGCTGTTTATTATTGTTTTTTGAAATTATGTATATTCATCTTTCGAGCAACTGCAACAATGTATATGAACAATAGACAAAATTCGCTGACTAAAACTGTTCAGTACAAACAGGATACAATAATTAACAACTGTCTATGGCCGTTGCTTCAGTCTAGTTGAGCGCTAACACGAATCCTCATAATAATATTTATACTAATTATTTCGGAGAAATGGCCGGCTCTCATTCGGACGAGGCGACGGCCGACCGCGTCACAAGATGTTTAGATTAACCGAATGCCCCTGATATTATCTTACGCTGCCCTAGAAATTGAATTAATTTGCATTCGTTTAAAAATAAAATGAAAGCGCTCCACCCATGACGTCCTGTTGTTCGTGTGCTTTCAAATTGACCGTATAACGAGATCTTTACAAGAAGTTTCCGCTGTTTACATTTCATTTGCTTAAGTCTACGTAAAAATATTTGCTTATGGATTAGAAGTGGCAAAATTAAATTTAATCGCAGATATTTTCCGAGGGTGACAAACATATTCATGAGGTCGTTATAAATCATTATGGGTATAATCGATGTAGAGTTTCTTTTCCTTTTTCTGTTAATCCATCATTCATAGTTATTTCAGTGCCATCGCATACTAACATTCAAAAATGTATTAATTTTGCATAATGTTTACAGAAGAAGCAAATACTTACGCGTAATATCATTCCAGTTGCTCGTGAGCAACAGCGGGGCGGGCACCGGCGGCGCCGCCACCTCGCCGGATGGTGGGTCGAGTTCGGCGCCGCCGCTCTCGCCCGGCGGGTCCGGCGTGGCCGGCGGCGCGTTGTCCCCCGGCGCGAACAGCCACGCCAGCACGCCGGCTGCGTCCTGCTGCGACACTCCCCGGCCCATCATCACGGATCCAGTGTCCGGGCAGACGGTGTGCTCCTGCCAGTACGACAATGCAAGACTAGCCCTGACGTCATACCCGAGGCTGTCGAGCGCAGCAGTCGGCGTCTACGGCGCGCCCTACCCGTCCACTGACCAGAACCCATACCCCAGCATCGGCGTCGACAGCTCAGCTTTCTACTCGCCACTGGTAAGTTTCTTCAAAGAATGTTTACTTTGACAGACAGGCGTCATACTGTGGGCACGTGAAACGTCCTTCAGCTTGGGCCTCTGGAAATTTCAACACTTGAAAGACGAAACGGCATTTTGAAGACTTCAATCAATATCATTATTGCCGAACAATTTTTTACCTTTTTAGGACTTTGTAGATCTTAAATCTAGCTAGGGTTATTGGTGATGCGAGTACCAGAAACAGGAGGCAGAAGACTTGTTAAAAGAGGAACAACGGATAATCATAAGCTTATTTATTGATTGTGTAAAATAGGATAGTACCTAAGTAGGTATCGAGTGAAGTAGTTCTATTTATTACTGCATAGTCATCATGATAGTTACAGATATGACCAACGTGACTCAGATGGGTTGTTTTGTTTGTTTTAAGTTTTGAATTCAAAATGTTTCTTTTAAGGTGCAAGTAATCACAACAATTCGAACAATGCTTTCTGTTTACCCGCTAGTGACATTAGCATCAAAACGGCTACGTGAAAAGGAATCTTGTGTTCGCGTCTTAGTGGCATCCAAAAACAGCAAGCATCAGGCTGCAAATTGGTACCAATAGCTCGTTTGCCGTATACGAGGCAGGGTTTATCGCTCTCTACCCCGATACGAGTTTGGCTTTTCTGGCGTCTCGTGCGAGCGCGCCATACAACCGGTCCCGACGCGCTGGGCCAGAAAACCACCGACACCTCGCGGACTCCGCGCCGCCGCCCTGTCACGAAACATTAATATTTAAACTCAAAAAATAAACCCAAACACCAACCGCTATTATTATACCAATTACACTTTATCTCAGTTCAGCCCTGTAGGATATCTTTACGTTGTTTCAAATGACACAAAAATTTCACGTTTTGTGTCGAGGCGGTTTTAAAATGATGACAGCATGCAGTATTCAAGTAAATTACTAAAATGCCATTAGCGGTTGCGTACAGACAGAGCGGTTGAAGTACAGTTCGGTTTAACACCTTGTCTGGGCATAGGGGACAAATGGGCGGTCTCAGTAAGCGGTACTCGTAATCCCTATAAGGCAGCACACTCGCAGGAATATCGATTATGCTTTACCCAACCCTTTGTGAAAAAGCTCCCATAGCGAAAACACAAATCTTAAAAAACTTTAGAGCTTTTTTGGGGTTTAGCAAAAAAGCGTTTTCATTTCATACGATTCAAATGACAAAGCACATGTAAATTCCGTTAAATCCAGCAAATCCTATCAAACGAGAGATGATCCTTTTTTGTCGAGTGTTTAAAAGGAATTTCCTCGCCTTAATCTTCGAGTGCTGAAACGTTCATAACGGAAGTTTCGACTGAACACACGAGAAACTTTTGGCTCCATTGCGATATTTTGTTCTTTGTTTTAGTGTATTTCGTCGCGGTTTACATATTATTATGATTGCGCTCTGAGTTTAGTCTTAATTTGTAGATTGCAACCGCGATAAACAAACCGTGAATCGTTCCAGAAGTTTTTGTATAGTAATGCGAGGTCGCTCAACTCATCGTAATTATAATATCATGTGGCAACTCGGGTTTGTGGATGCATCCTAAATCGCCGGTGAGATCTCTATCTGTCATTGTATTTAACGAGCTTTGCAGTACCTACGCTCTGTGACCCTGTGCATGTTTAATAACAGGTGTTTAAATGTATGTATAGTGTCATTGTGTGCTCTGTGCCCGTACCTAACTCACGACAAGCCTGGCCGGTTCCGTGCCAGCGACAATTTAGCGAACAATGACGACGCTCTACCACAAATACACTCGTGCTCGTTTCTGGCTATGTAAGTCTTCCTTTCGCAGCGATCGAAAATCTTCCTTATACCGACAGGAATTAAGCACAATTCTGCACTCTAATTTTGTCGACCGTTGCAGGGGAAAATATTCAACTGCCATTTTTGTACACGAGCGACTCCGGTGGCGCCGTCTGTTGAGTTGCGACTTACTAACAATACAGGCAGCGCCATCTTTTATCTATTGTACGCTTTTGATAATCAATAAAAAAGGATTTGTTTGTGTAGCCGCGTTGTAATACTGTCTACGTAACTACGCTGTGGTTTTTCAGCACAAGTTTGAGCTTTATGAGTAACTAGCTGTGCCCGCGACTTCGTCCGCGTGGAATAATGACTTTGGGTAGGCACTTTTAATAATTTAGTCTAATTATTTTACAAATAGCTTTTGCCCGCGACTTCGTCCGCGGAGAAGTCGAAAACGTTCTCATTCGATTTTTAAATCTTTTTAACGTTATATCTAAATGTTTGAATAATAAGAATAAGAATAAATTTATTACTTAATAAAACTTAGCCTAGATACATTTGATTTCAGAATACTTATAAAATATAAAAANCAAACAAACAAACAAACAAACAAACAAACAAACAAACTCTTCAGCTTTATAATATTAGTATAGATTGCAAAATAATTTGACCTACCTACCTACACGATCAATTGATTTTGTAATGCGCTATTTACATTAGCTACCTGATGAAGATTTCAAAGATAGATTAGATATCAAACAATTTTGTGTGAGTTAGGCTGTAGACACACGAAGCTTCGGTGCAGTAAGTTGCGAAGTTCACGTTTTAATTATATTATTTACATATTAGTATAGAATATAATTGAGGAGTTTTTTCAGGTGATTACATTTTTTACCTTTCATCTATATCTTGTCGTTTTAACTAATTTCCTTTTTTAAACACAGCCTTGTCTAGTACAAGGCTGTGTTTATGCATTAAAATTCACTCATTCGTACTGTTTGACTTTGCTTTGGCTAATTATTTGTGTATTGGGAACTGGAACTGAAATTACCCACCTATAAGCTTAATTAAATTAACATTACATACTCGTACTTACAACACATTTTTTTAAATATTCATAACAATATTAGGTTTTCTTCTACGTTAAGAAAATTACTTGCCGACTACAGCACAAATTGTTAAGACGTTAATCTTAATTAATAATGTGATTGTGTGACGGTATATTTAATTAATAATGTGATTGCTGACGTTACAAAGAGTTTATACGTGGGACACTATTTAAGTTGTGAGCCTAACTATGAAAACAAAGTAGTATATTATTAAAATGGTATTGGTTGCGTTTATTGGTATTGTCTTTCATGATTTATGTACTTTTTAATGTGTCCGAAACATTTTTCATAGCATTTTTTCCACTCAGCTTGAGGCACCTCCAAAGCATGGTTTTTGACCGCACCGACAGTTGCTTCTGGCTACATAAATCGCTGTTGACGCATTTAATTTTAATATATGGGTACCAAAAGAAGTGTTTAGATTCCAAGCAAGAATTTTGTAGCGTTGGACCTGTTTATTTCATATTTTTTAGTGTTCAAATAGTCAGTTGTTTGACGAGACGTGTAAAAGCTCACATTTTCGTCACGAATGGCGATTCGACTATGCTGGTCAGTTTCCCTTATTAAACTGAAGACTTTTGGAAAAAAACTGGCTGTTTACTTTTAAGAATTAACCATTCTAAATTTCTCTAGTAACGTTTCTGTCATATAATCGGATATTTCGGAAAAATAGGCGACCGTAAGTTTCAAAGTGTTCCGAGCGCATGGGACTTTAGTTGGAATTGGTTCATCTTAAAACACCTTCATAATCGATAGTTGTTTATTTTCAGGATCATTATGCATAAATCCTTAATTCGTCAACTGTTACAATTTTAAAAACGGCTTTTAAAGCTTTTTAAACGTATTTATCAAACATTTCCAAGGACTAAACGACACAAGCGTCCTATCGAGCATTTGAAAAATTTTGTGACATCCAGCGAGAAAAAAACGTATTAACCATAATATGGTCATACAATATTTTATTACTGCTAGTGGAATTAATGCCTAGGATTATCTCAATCCTACAATATATCACATGATGAGGTTTCTCTTCCATTTTTCTGACAACATCAATGTTTTCCGCCACTATTAGTCATTTTGGACGACTTTCGCAAAGTTCACTGGTGAGCCAATGACATACAATATTATACTTCTTAAACTAGCGTTTTACAATGGTAAAGGACAGATCTTTATCACCAAAAGTGAAATTTAGCTGACCGCTTCAGTTTTGTATTGATTAACCACATCGAAAATCATAATAAATCTTCGCGTGAAAATTTCCGCAAGTTAATTCCATGTTTTTGTAGCCAAGATAATTTCAATTCAATGTTAATAATACAAAATGTGCTCAAATGATAAAAAGTTTTGAATAAGGTTGTAGTCAAAAATGTCAAACTTTTCATTAAAAGTATCAGATGTCGTCTAACAACACGTTATGTTGTCGAGGCTCACAACTTAAATAGTGCCCTAGGTAACCTCTTAATAAACCGCTATTAATAGTATCTCGAAATAAAATAACCCGACAAGAGTATCGCACATTTACCAGCAAAACAGCGTCAAAATTATACACAAGATATTCAGCCAGGGAATAAAATGACAAACGGTTTAATCTTCATTTAACAAACCGCCGGCAAATCGTGGAGCGGAGCCATAAAATCTTTCGTCAGCGGAATTGTAACATGTGCAGTAGCTGCAGCTTAGGTATACATATCTCACTCGTTTATTGCAAACGGAAATCTTATGAACCCTTCCCCTTGCTGCATTATAACCAACTGATAGACATAATGACGGCGACATCCGAAATTAATGACGACCAGAGAAACGCGAACTTGCACCGCCCTTGATGTTTCGCTTTGAAAAAAAGACGACTCAATTTAGAATCACGCGGAAAACTTTCTTTATCACGACCGAATTAAAAGTCCGATAAGTGAACAGGGGCGGCCGGAACGGTAGACCCGGCTGGCTGTAAAAACGTAACAGAACGACGATTTAAATACATCACTAATCTTAAGTCAAAGAGAATCAGTTTAGAAAAAAGGAGAGCAGAAATTCAATTAAAGAAGGGCGGTGGAACGAGAGACGAGATGCGCAGGAGCGACCGCGGGACCGAGAGGGACAAAATAAATAAAAGTGAAGAGGAATCA